GGCCCTGTATGGCTTTATTCCCAAAAACATTCAACTAGGAATTTTATCCCCCTTTAGTTTCCTTTTTCTTTTTCTTCTTTTTTGAGACAGGGTCCCACCATGTAGTCCTTGTTAGCCTCAAACTTGTGGCAATCCTCCTTCCTCAGTCTTCCAAGTGCTTTGATTACAGGTGTGTGTCACCACGCCTGGCTCTTTAGTTTTCTTTTCTTCCTTTCTTTTTTTTTCTTTTTTGGTGGTATCAGGGATTGAACTCAGGACCTATTCCACCGACCTATCTCCCCAGCCCCTTCAGTTTTCTTTGTAACACAAGTGAAAACATCTAAAATCCTCCATCTATACGAATTACCATACTTAGTTGATTTTACTTTTTCCTTTAAACTCACTTCACTTTGTATCAACCAAAACAAAAGGGTCAAAGAGCATCTGATCTCAGATACACAATGAAGCCTAGCATTTTCTTCATTAGGCATCAATAATCTTAGTGAGTTTTTAACTCAGATGCTCAAAACACAACGAAGTCAGAAATCAAGCAGACTCAGATCAATTAACTCAGAAATACAGAAAAAACTGCCATAGTCTGAGGATGGTCTGCCTTCACCAAATTTATGCTGAGGTACCGGTCTCAAGTATTAGAGGACTGAGAGGTTCTGGGACCACTAATGGCCTAGTTCCACCGCAGGGCACCATGTGCATGAAGAGTGGCTTTGTTATCACTGGTGGCCAGCCTGCTGTCTTCCACTTCTCTACCATGACTGGAAGCAGCATGAGGACCTAGAAGCCAAGCCAACACCTACATCATGCTTCTGAACTTTGAAAACTAAAGCCAAAAGAATTTTTTTCCAAGATTATACATTACCCAGCCTCAGTTATTCTGCGACAACAGCAGAAAATGGACTAAGACACTGAAGAGGTAATTTTACCACATACTCTGATAGCTTTGTTCTTCTAGACAATTGATGGATGACTTTTTGATACTTTATATATGTAGTATTGAGCATACCACAGACATAAAGCCACTAACCCACATGCATATTGCTACATATAAAAATCTCAAGGGAGGGCTATGGAGATAGCGGCGTAAGCACTTGCCTACAAGGGTAAGGTCCTGAGTTTGATCCCAGTTACCATATGCTATACTGGGCCTGGAACCCTGGGTGTACCAAGCTAGCCCCCAAACCAGGCACGGTGGTGCACATCTGTAATCCCAGCACTTTGGAGGCTGAGACATAAGGATCACCATGAGTCCCAACTATGTAGCAAGACCCTGTACCAAAACCAAAAAATGGGGGGGGGGCAGGCAGCCAAATAGTGGAAGGGCCAGGGGTTCAATCCCTGGGCCTGCCATGCCAGCCCCACTCCCAGGGCACACTGAGATGGCAATTGAGACTGGGCATGGTGGTGTGCGCCTGTGATCCCTGCTCTTGGGAGGCTGTAAACAGGCAGATCACTATGAATAGGATCTAGTAGTGAGACCCTGAACACCCTGTAGGCCCTTCCCTAAAATAAAAACAAACAAACAAACAAACAAAAAACACCAAAAAAAGGGCAGACATCTTGAACAATTTATCTTCAAGATAGAGAACAGTGCCACACAGAAATAGAAATTATCCATTTACTTTTATTTTCTATTGGCATTTTGATTTCTTGAATGTGCCCTTCTACTACCCATTTTCCTTTCTC